ACCGTTGTCACTTACCGTTGTGCACTTGATATATTGAATTGACTTCGCGGCGGGGCAACGTGACATGTGTTGAAATATATTTCTCGTCGATATATCGGCGACGACCGCTCGTCTTCGGCACTTCCGTCGTACGGTGTTGCCCAATCAATCCGCTTCACCTGTCACGAACGAGCCGTATAATTTAGAATTTTATTGCTTTTACATAATGAGCACACATACGCGCGCGCGCGATATTTTTCTCTTTCTTCCTCCGTTTTGTTCTCATTACGTCACCGTGACAAATGATTAGTTCGCTTATTACCGTATTTATCGCATTATGCGCTTAGTTTGCGCGTTTAACACGCTTCACGGAAAATACCCGACAATATCACGCGCATTTAAATTTTATAAAAAAATAAGATCCATATTGCGATTCTTTGTTTGATGACGATGCGCGTTGTTTGGCGGAAAGAAAGTTTTGCTAAAATATAGAAAAATTTTGCAGATAAAACGGAAAGAGTAAAAACAATTTTTAACAAATAATGTAAAGACATTCAAGTTGATTATTAGAATAGCGAATTTTGCGATATCATCATTGTGTTTGATATACAGTTGCACTGGTGATTCAATAAAATTTTCATATCTATTTCTGATCAAATTTTTAAAGACTTCGACATGACTATTCTTTCTGTCTTTCGAGCGAATATGTAAATTCGCAAGCATGCTCGGAATCGAGACTAAAGCGCGCGTAAATTTGTTTTGCTTTTGCTCCTTTAAATAAAAAGAGACACGCTCGAAAATAGGATATTCAAGATGCATTCGAATTTAAATTCTTGAAACTTTCACTCAACGCTTTGCGTCTCGATATCGAAATAAAACGTCTTATTATGCAAAGTATTTTCTCGCTACTGTCGCATTGAATAATAAAATACGAAATTTCTCTTATTTATATGCCTGAATTATTTGGTTACAAATTTACTTAATTGCAACACTATGCGTGGTACAACTCATTTTTTTCAAGTATGATAGAAAAGCGATAATTTGAAGCAATTATTCGTTGGGCAACATATATTATCTTTTGATGACAAATTTGTGCCTAAATGATAAGTTCGTCAAAACACATCGCGACGATGTGTCATTTCCCTTTTTTCTATGTGACGAAATTCTCTCTATTGTATCACTGTTGACTGATCTTATGAAATATTTCAGGGTCAAGTTTTTGGTTAGTATCTTGCATAAAAGATACATTAGTTTCCTTAACCTACTTTTTATGGAATGTAAATAGAACGTAATCTTACAGGAACATTCTCTTAAATAAACGTATCTAAAGGCCATCATGTAATAAAACCATTTTATAATGAAGAAATTTATAATATAAAAAAAGCTTATATAAAAAAAGCTTTATAATTATTTCATCTTAATATATATCAATATAAATATGAAATTATATATGAAATTTTTTATTTTTAAAATTCAATTGTGGATGGATTTTCTTTAAGGAACAAACATTAGATTTTTCTATTAATTCTTTGAAAAACACCTTGCAGTTCGATAGAAACAAACAGATGCGTATTTTAGTATTTCTGGTACAGATGCAATATCCGTTAGACATCCACATGTTTATAAATTTTCCCTGATATTTTTGTAAAGATAATCTTATCTCTATAAAGATTATCTAACCAGAAAATTCAGAATTCAACTTCTTCTTGTAAACGTAATCTCACATTCCGCAACAAAAAGATTATTTCCATTTGATGAAGAAGAATGACAAGCGTCTGACAAAAATATTTATAAATATCAGGAAAAGATAATCCAATAGCAAAAAAAAAAAATCATACGTCATCATTATCATTCTCGTATGATAAAGAACAAAAATTTGATAAAAATGTTTACCGCCGGGAAGAAATAATCCGATACCATTTCTGACAGTAACATTTCTACTTATTCGATGAATATTAGGTGTGGGTGGGGAAGATAAGGTTCTCGAGGAAGGGAGACCACGGAGGAACAAAACGGTATCCCGGGTGACGACGATTCGGCGACGAAGTCACGGCGTCGGAACGATCAGTCATCGCGTCGGTCAGTTCACGGAACGCGTGCACGAGGCGCACACCGAGAGAGAGAGAGAGAGAGAGAGAGAGAGAGAGAGAGAGAGAGAGAGAGAGAGAGAGAGAGAGAGAGAGAGACAACCCCGATAATATGCACGCGCCTCTGCTCGAATGACTCTTGTGGCATCGTTTCTGGTGACGCAGGTCTGCACCCACATAATCGCATGGCGAGAAACGAGGAGGGAAGGTCCGATACGGGATGCTATCGAGAGCGGCGCCGCCGCTGAGTACAACAAAGACGAGTGCGTCTGGAGGCGTGGAAATGACCGTGACGTCTGCCCGGACCCGGATGTACACGTGTACCTGTACTCTCCAGGCCGATCTCGACGGCTTCTGGACCCCCTCGAGCAATCCGATTGGCTGCGGCAGGATTACGAGCCCTCTAAGGACAATGTGATCCTGGTACACGGATACGCAGGTAATTCTCTCGGGATTCTGTCTCAATATGCATGGAAACAGATACTAGCCGATACCTAGAAGATACCTAAGAATTTGTGCCAGATTAAATTTGAAAATAAAATAACCTTGGATCGTGATAAAAATGATTTTGCGAGTTTAAATATAAATGTTTCAATAGTCCGATAATTATTAATAGATTTTCAAATAAATCGTTGGATCACGTGTATATATAAAGAAATATTTGAGATTTTTCAAGATTTTTAGAATGGGAAACCGTCCGTCGGAACGAAATCTTTCTTTATTGTATTTTTTTTTTTTCCGAGAAACCGTTTTTCGAGCTTTGGGAAACTTGAGATTTTCTAACGCTGAAACATGCTGGAATTGAAACCGTGCCTTTCATTTTAAATTCCGAAAACTGATTTCCAGAATATTTCGCGAACAAAAAAAAAAAAAACTTTTTTAAATGACTTGATGTATGAATGCATTCTTGATTTGGTCACAGATGTCACGATAATTTTTCATAGGTGGCGACGACACTTTGCCCATCGCGATTTTGCGCGATGCTTACCTGAGAAATGGCAGCTATAATGTGTTTCTGGTCGACTGGGGCGCATTATGCGCTCGGCCGTGTTATCCAGCTGCGGTAATGAATATACGACCGGTAGCGAGATGTCTTGCAGGTACCTTGACAACCTTAAGAAACCTTGGTTTACCAATGGCTAGGACTACCTGCGTTGGCCATTCTTTAGGTGCTCACGTTTGTGGCATTATGGCTAATTATCTTCTCTTCAGAATGCACAGGTAAATAATGACTCCTCGCAAATAATTTATAATAATTTCACACGTTCTGGCATTCTGGCGCGACAGTTAACATGGTAGATATTTCGACAGGTAGTTTGGCAGGAATTTTTCGCAAAATTCGTAGAAGGCGTATGAAAAATATCGAGCGCCAACGTGAGAAAGAAATTATTACAAATAAATATTAAATTTTGACGAGAGACGCTTTGTACAAGTTTAATTATATGCAAATATATAAATAATTGTTTCAATTAAAATCAAATATTCATTTGTATCAGAAAAGGATTTTTTTTTTTTATAAAAAATGTCGTCTCGTACAGCGTTAACATTTCCTTAGGTAATTTGTATTCTCTTTAACTTGTTTATATTTTTTCACATGATTTTCTTATAATTAATTAATGTACCGTTACATCTGATCAGATATAGAAAAACCAGTTTTTACTAAAATATCTAAAAATTTGACCAAGTGCAGATCTGAAAAAATGATTTTATCGAGTTCCAAATAATTATACAAAACGTTTAAATTGATTGTTAAATTTGAAAAATTTTTATATTTTACCAATCAATTTGAATGTACATAATTATTCTGATAACTTGAAAAAAATTATTTTCAGATTTGTGAAAAATTTTAGATACTTTAACTGTTTTTTCGTGCATTATCTCAGCAGCTCTGGGTTCTTCCTTTCTTTATTTTATTTTTTTTAATTCATTTATTTCTTCACATGATTCGCAACATTCTCTACGTTGAATTCTGAATAACATTGACATTTCAAAAAGCAAATAATATTTTGTCCAGTTGTGAGCAACGCGATACAAATACCTGATAATTAGAAATTGAAATTAACATCAAAATCAACGCGTCGTCGTATCAACATATCGAAAACTCAAACGTAAACGCGATGTGATTTTGTGCGCAGAATAATTGGCTTGGATCCCGCGCGACCACTCGTCCGACCAGGCTTGGTGAACCACTTGGACGCCGGTGACGCCGATTTTGTCGAGGTGATACACACCAACGCGGGCTACTACGGCGAGGTCGGTCGCGTCGGCCACGTGGACTTTTGCGTAAACGGCGGCAAAGTGCAGCCCTTCTGCGTGGGCCAGGAGATGTACCAGCTGTGCAGCCACGTGTGGGCGGTCTGCTTCATGGCGCAAAGCGTAGACAACGGTGGCGCGAGCATGATAGCGGAGTCTTGCTCCAGGAGGTGCCCGTCGGGCCCGAGGATCGCCGCCAAGGCGGGAGAGTACCTGACGATGGGTCAGCACACCCCGATCCACGCCAGGGGCTCCTTCTGCTTCAACAATCCCGACCCGCCGTACTGCCCGAGATACTGGAACGGTCACGGCGACGAGAGGTGCTGCGTCCCGGAGGCAACGAGCAACGAGGAGGAGATAGAGGAAAACAACGTCAAGTACGACAACTCGACGGGACGTCCGAATTCTACGAGGCGATCGAACCTCGAATTCGACTTGAGGCGACGTCGACGTGTCGTATAATCGAGGAGAAATCGCCGTTATTACATATACTGCACTCCTTCCTGAATTCAATCCTGATTCACTCGATGAATAATTTAAATTAATTTAAATGTGTTAGATATATAGTAGAGAAGCTCTCTATAACTGGATTTTTGTAGTCCTGAAGAAAGCTGCCTTGAAGAAGAAAAATGTCTCTTCTAGATTTGAGTCCTATACGGAGACGTGGTTTCTCGCGATGAAATCCAAAAATGGAAATGATCTCTACACTCCCAAATAGACTTTCTAAATTCCATTAGAAAAAAAATCTATTTTACGAGATTTGAAAAGGCGTAATTTCTCGCGTAATTTGTGTTTTGATGAGCGAGTGAAGTGTTTATATCTACGCATCGATTCTCGTGCCAATAGGAGACACGCAACCGATTTGGGAATGCGAGATTATTATGTATTCACACCGTGGCCGCATGTTCCGGAAAAATTCTATAGTCGCAATCACACTTGGCAATCCGTAATCCATACCGTTATATGCTCCACTAAATAAATTTATCCGCGGCAATAATGAGCGATCGATCGATCGAGCGTCGCGCTTTTTGGATTCTATATTCTCTCTTTCTCTCTCTTTGAGAGACCCACATAATTATCCAATAAAATTCAATAAAATTATTTTCAAATCTATGGCCAAATTTTTAAATACTTTAGTAAATATTTTTTTAGTGAAAAAAAAATCATCTAAATAAATTGAAATGAGGTATGTTTAATTAATTACTACAAAATATCCTTCTTCTTGAAACGACTTAGATCATTTTGCTGTAAATATTTTGAAATATATGTTGTTATTTATTAAAAACATCTGTCATATTTATTAAATTTGCTTCAATCTTTAATTTATTTTTCTTAATTTATCTTTTAATTGATTAATTTCAATAATATATTTTTTTAATAAATATAAAATTGAGAATATTCTTTCTTAAGAATATTAAAAGAAAATATTATCTCTCACAAAGAATTTGTATTCGAGCAAATCAAATCTTTTGAAATATGAACAATATTTTAGATAGTGATTATCTCTAAATTTATCTCGGGAGAGACATTTTGACCGAATTTTATTCCCAATATTTAATTCTGCTTATATTTTACCTGGAATGTCTCGAACAAAAGGATTCTTATCTCCGTTTTATTTTTCAGCTTTTATGTAAAGTCTATATAATTCCCGATTTTCCTACTTTTCGGGTCGAGGCTGCTCGGGGCTTTGTGTTTCCAAATCGAGACGATGTCAAGTAGCCCCGTCTTGAGCCGGCGCCCCGCTCAATCTGCATAGAAGTGTTTCGAGCTCGTTGTGTGTTGCCGGCGGGTGTTGGTAGAAAAATAGGCGACAAACAGGCGCGACATACTACCCGACACTTGCACTCTTGTCGTGCTGCAGATAATACGCTTCAAGAAACGGCGCGACACGCGTGGGAGGTCGTCTCGCAAGGAAGCGCGACGACCAAGAGGGAAGAGAAAGTATCATTTGTATCTTAGACGATAGAAACCTAATGCACAGAAGATGATTAAATGTTATTTTATTACGTGTTTGTGTTAGAGCCGAAATTAGGCGAGAAGGAAAATATTTTATTTCTTCAATCGAATAAATAAGAACACGTAAGGCGTTTGATGAGAATGATTTTTATTTAATGGCATTAATGATATGAGTGTGGCATTTTATATAAAAATCATCGAAAGACAAAAAGATCAAATATTATCGAGGATATGTAATATCTTAGATAATGCTTGATTGTGCGTATCTTCAAAGAGTCACGCGTATACAATTCTTTGAAATTCGCACTTTCGTATAGGTAATCATTCATTGTTCACAAAATTTTATCACGATATTATCGAATGTGCTCGCTAAAAGCAGAGATATATATATATATATATATATATATATATATATATATATTGTT